TCCTTAGTTATTTGTTTATTCGTTTTGTAATTAGCTTTTCATACTGATATAAAATAAAGATATTATTATTTTTTATTCTCATATTCGCACTAAGGCAAGTCTACAAAACTATTTCGTTAGCATATTTAAATTAATGGTAATAAATACCGGGATTCACAAAATGGTCTGGAATTGGATGCCTTAGTCAGGGTATTCATATTTTTGACGCTGACTGTACATGTAAAGGCATTTCATGTATCCCACTCACGCAATCACCTCTGGAGTACCTCTCAGTCATCGCTTTGAAATTGAGAAAGTCCACTCATATGTTTAACGATTTGACGTTTCGTTTGATTGAAGTGGCAAGTAAGCGTTGTAGTTTTGTTGTTTGACGCACCCTCATTTAACAAAAGCCTTTGTGCGCAGAAAATGGTAGCAAAACAAAAGTAAGAAATTGTTACGTAACTTCTTATTCGCATGCTGAGATCATTTTAATATTGCTTGAGGGGCGCATTAATCAAATTTTTCAATGAGTTAATATCGCCTTTTGCTTATTTTCATAGTGACGAGCTAACTCTCGTCAAGCAGTGTAGGTACTAACGGTTTTTAATACAAAGCACTTAGGACGAAAGCTTATGGAACCGTTCAAGTACTTTTTAGGTGACATAAGTGTCTATGTAACAAATACTTACATATATATGTACATACTTTACTATCTGAAATGGGTGTCCTATCTACTTCTCTTTGGAATGTGCCCGGCGACTTCTTCTTGGTGTGTCTTCACGCATTGCGTTTGGCAATAATAGCGTAATCTTAGAGTTCTTTGCGATAAAATAGCGAAATTTCCCAACTATTCTGTATAAAGTTAACGAGTCTGTGCATATGAAGTCTATGTGCTTCATTACAACCAAACCAACATGCAAATAGCTCCAAACTGGTTTTAGCGTGTATTTCAGATAGTCTGAAATGTTTGTTGTGCACAGGATAAATATTCAAGTGAATAACAAACAACAAACGTTTTTTTTTTTATTAGGTAAACAAATATTTTTATTAAGCATTTATTTTCTTTGTACCTATTCATTAAATTTCCTAATTGCTCCTTAAAACCCAAACCAGTGAAAAACCTCAAATTAGAAATTCATTGTGTTAAGCCCACCTTTTAATTCAAATGCAAACCCAAAAATTTAGACAAAAGATCAACAGAAAACAAAAGACTACAAAAACCGCAAGAAATTTATAAAATTTAAACCCGTAGAAATTAAATGAGCGTATGTGACGAGAAAATGCCCGATCATCGTTGCTTAGTAAGCACTTACATGTGCACATTAGGGTGGTCCAAGAACAGTAAAGTCGGATTTTTAATGCTCTCACCCCCTACGATTGTTCTATATCGCAAAAAGGTATACCATTATTTTTTATTTTGAAATCGAAAAATATTTATAGGCCGCTCAAAGCGCTAAAAAATTTTACATGTATTGAGTATGAAAAAAAAGCATTTCGTAAAAATGGTATAGAATTCTTGAAAATCAATATTTTTTTTCGGAAAACTCAGGTTCTCTTCAGGAGACTTTCAGTAATAATACCCAATTATTTATTTAACCATTTTTTAATACTCGTGGTTTTTTGGGGGTTTTTGGCGGACCTTTAGATTAAAGTTGGGATTAAAAAATGGTAAATTAAACAACTGGATGTTGTTATTGGGAATTTCCTGTAGAGGAGCGGAGTTTTCCGAGAGAAAATATTGATTTTTAAGAATTCTACGAAAAGTTGTTTTTTCCCCATATAAATTACTTGGGAAAACTTTGAGCGACAGCTAAACATTTTTTGATTTCAAAATAAAAAATAGGGGTATATCTTTCGGTATCTAGGGGGTGAGAGCGTAAAAATTCCGACTTTACTTTAACCACATGCATTTTTGGACCACTCTAATGTATGTGCATACATAAACTGTGCAGAGGGCCAGACAAAGATATTGGCGTTATTATTTGAAGACCAAAAAGCACACAATGACTGCAGAAAGACCTACACAATGACACTTAAAAATATTTTAACAAAATTTCAAAGAGTACATTTTCATTAAAAAGTTATTTTCATTGTTATATTCACAGATTTATTTTACGTAGGCTCGCATTTATTATTTTTGTACTTTTCAAACTTGGCGTTTGGTGCATTTATCACTTGCAAATCACCATTAAAACGACATATGCACATGAAAATAAAAATTAAAAAAAGTAGCTCGTCAATGGTTGAACGCAGTAACTTATTATGCATTTTCTTTGGGGCTTTCGTGAACACCCTAAGTGAATCACCGTTTGATTATTTGTTAATCGTCTGACTCTACGTTTTATAGTTTTTTAACAACTTTTTGTTCTGTTTTTATTTTATTGTTTTTTTGTTTTACCACATACTCAACACGAGTTTGATTTTGACATATAAAGTTATTTGCTTATACACTTGAAAAGCTGCTGCCGCCGCATCTCCAAAGACAAAAAACTAGATACTACGGAGGAATGCCTGCAGTTAATAGTTTTTGTTTTCTGCTTTTTCAGCTAATTTTATGAAGAAATTGAAATTACCACAACTCATTTGTTAATCGTAAACTTTCATTTCAACTTCATTTTTTGGTTGATTAAAAGCTTTGATTTTATTTTCGGTATCCAATTAGTGATTTGAAATTTAACATGTAAGAAACTTTACCGGTAAATCAACCGAATAGAGTTGAGGGCAGTTTATGTAAGAAGCAAAAGTGAAAATTTGATATAGGTACATATGTATTTAAATAAATTTAAAAAACAAAAACTTTAAATGTTACTCAATATAAATATAATAAAGTTAATCTATTAATTCTAAGATATATTTGTAAGTGATTTACAAAACAGTCTTCAAAACGTATTGTCTATGTTTCAATGAGGGAAATAAAAGTAAATTATAGATTTTAAAATCAAAGGGACTAAGGGCCGTTTTCTCAACACGAATTTTATTCTCAATAAATGTGTTTGAAGGGCAGATAAGTTTTAAAAGCTACTTAAAAAAAAAAACAACCCTACGTGGAATGATGGGTTTTCTTCAAAGATTCTAATGATACCCATCTCTTTGTAGAATTTGATTTTGTCATTACTTAGAGAACTTGGCTTTTCGTATTCTCTACAAAAAATACCGATTAATTATTTAAATTTTTTTATCGTATTTTATGTTGTTGGCATTAATAAAAAATTAAATGCTTGGAGATTTTTCGGTGACTTTTTAAGATATTTTTCGGTATCGTCCAGGATTTCTCCATAACATTTGGGGTCTCGTCCTGCTTTAATATTTGGCGTTATCTGGAGCCATTTGGGAATTATCCAAAAAAAATCGGATCTCCTTATTTTCCATTCTTATAATTTTAGGAATGGCTGCAAAAAAGTTCAACAATTTAACTATCCTGTGTATTTCTGATCACCCTAATGTACATTGCACATATAGATATATGTATGTATTTTCACACATATGTACATATTTACTGTAAAAATTTGCATTTCAAAACAATTAGCTTTGGCATCTTCGGGTAAAATTTGCTAATGACTTTTACTGCAGTTTGTCTATCTGTTGACATGTGTGTAATTTGTTTTTGTTTTTACCTTACACATCATACAATCAAATCATTTAAACAATGAAATATTAATTTTTTATGCAGTGTTTTGAATATTACACAAATTTTTGTTACTCTTTAGCTAAACGGCTGTTTGCATAAATTTTCCGCTATTGCACTCTCAGTACATTTGTTATAAATGCGTATTCATATTAGGTATTTTACATATTTGATTATACTCATTTACTAATCTGTAAACTTGAAACAGCGTTTGTTAAAGAATAAGCCACTACTATATATGTATGTATATTTATAAGAAAAACTTAGATTAAATAACAAAAAATTTCTTGTTAAAACTTGCCAATCTGTTGCGTGGTTATAATTTTGACACGGAATGTACGACAATGGTATACTACTCTTCATTTCTTTGTTTATTGTTTTCCCTTTATTTTTTTGTTTCTAGCGTTCTTAATTGTTTACGCACTGAATTCATGGCGTTAGTTTGTAGAATTTAACCAGAAATGTATCCTTTAATGGGTTTTATTTATTTTTGATTTTAATCGAAACGACTGATCAATCGGTTAATTGCCTATAATTAATTGCAATTAATAATCGAATGCTTTTGATTAATCAATTAGCCTATTAATCGATTATAAAATCTTGTTTGTGATCACTAGGTCCGTACTTCCACCCGGTTTCCATTCGGAATGCAATAAAACCATCGGGGTGGTGCACAATAAATTGAAGAAGAAGGACGGCCAAATATGAACGTGGCAAAAGTGTAAGGGCCAAAATAGTAGTAGTAAGATTAGTATAAGAGGAGCAGATAATCTAGTCACCGCGACCGAAACAATCAGTTGTAACAAACCTCTATTCGACTACAGGTCTACTTTGATGCACGTATTGCTAAGAATCCTGGGCAAAGTCCTTAAGCAGAATACCATTTAGATCGTTTCTTCAAGGAGTCCCAATAATTGACAAGTGTTTCATTACCCTACAGTGGCCAGTAAGAAAACCCGGAACAATTCTTATTTCATGCCTACTGAGGTGAAGGAATTCTTCGGTTCTCTAGAATATCCGGAATGTCTGTTACCTTCCGTATCTGTCCCGTAATGTTGCGCTTTGGTTTTCATCCAGATTGTTTTGCCTAACAGAGCTCCATGGCAAATAAGTAAAGGGTCTTGGACCTACGAATCTGAGAATATCTACCACTTCGTTGCCCTTGACTCCACTGTGTCCTTTATGAGGTATACCCGGTTTCTGGAGGGGATCAGTATTAAAAACGGAAGGCAGTCCCACACCAGCTTTGAGGTGACTTCGTGAATTGTAGTAGCGAGAAGCGCCACTCTGCTCTCCGAGTTTCTGTAAATGAGTGTTTTGGTTGCCCTACTTCCTGCATACTGCTTGAGACATAGTTCAATGGCGTATACCTCGGCCTTAAAGATAGAGTTACCTCGCCGCATGCTGGTGAAAAGAAGCCGTCTTGGTTGTATGCCGTAAACTTCTGCTCCGACACCGTGGTCAGTCCTGGAGCCGCCAGGATATCAGATTGGGCTATCCTTCTAGAGTTTAGGTCGTTCGTTGTCCTGGATGTTCCTGTTGGATAAAAAGAACACGAAGTTCAAATCTCGGAAGCCACAGATCCACAAAAAAGAAAAAAGCGAAAAAAAATTCCACGAACACGTGTTAGCTTTTTTCATGTATAGAACCCATATAAAAAAATTTGAAGCCAATTGAAAGTGTGACACCAAATTTGGTGTCCGATATGAAAAAGCATGTCTCATATCGTCGTTTAAAGTGCAAAACCGCGTAGTTGAAGTTGTAGAAATTATTTTCTAGAGCGTAAAAACACTCATATTTCAAAATGGTTCTCTTTTTTTATAAAGCAATCGCAATTCTGGCTAGTATATTTCAGGACAAATGGAGAAGGACTGAGCCAGGAGCTTGTGTGAGCAAATCCAATTTTTGGCAGCCAATGTCAGTGACGCTACGCGGTTTTGTACTTTAAACGACGATATGTATATTTATAAGAAAAACTTAAATTAAATGATAATAGTATTTGATGGCAGAGAGAAAGCAACATTATTCAGTAAACGTCATTAACGATGTTGATATTTTCCAAGGAAATTTATTTCGAGTTTCATAAAAATGCATTTTATTCAAAACCAATTAAGTTCTCTAGCGAAAATCTGCAACTGGTATATGAAAGTTTTCTTTAAGTCCGGATACTTATTCTTAGAAAATATGATATGTATATTTTTATTATATTATTATATTGTTTTATTTTTCTTGTTATTATATGTACAATGCGCATTTAAAATCCACCATGACATTTTCATTTCATAAATATGGTAACACTAAAGTTTGATATTGAATACACAAACCGCTGAAAGCTCGTGGCTACCCAACGCAGACCAGCAAAAAAACAACTTTTATTAACAAAGTGGTGAGTTTTTACTGAAGCTATCTCTTGTATGTAAATACATATGTACATACGTTCATACATAAAGACCTGTTTATATTTGAATATGTAATTTCGTAAAAACACATCTCTGAAAATTTAAAGTATTAAGGGGAAAAAAAAATCTATTATCTTCAAGAGTTGTGACAATTCCAAAATTATTCGGTACTCGCCCTGGCATCAATAGTAGAATTGATACAAATATGTACTATTTTCGAGCTTAAGGTGTTCTTACACGATATATGTATATTTGCATGTGTACATGCCACTTTTTACATATGGAAATGCCAACATGTCGTGTAAAGGCAAATTAGATTTATTTCTGAATCGTCTGAGGTTAGTTTATTTCGTTTTCAAAGAACATATTTTTAAATAGTTAAATGAAGACTGTGAATTTGACAGACATACACAATTACATATGTATTGAAAAAGTCACATTTACGGATGCAAATACATATCGTGTAAGAACACCTTTAATAAATACAGAGCAGCATTTAGATTCCATTGACCTGGAAAAATGTTTATCCAATTATTTGCCCTTTTCGAAATTGCATACTCAAATTTGGTTGGACATTAGAGTAGTTCAAATAAACACTCTTTGGAAATTCATAAACGCTACATAAAAATATTGTTATTTGTGTTAAAAAAAAAAGACACGTATTTTTATATTTTGAAAAAAAAAATTTTGGAAGTCGCGCTTGTCGGTTTTTTTTATAAAAAATCTGACGTTCTAAAGTTTTTTTTTTTTTCACGACATGTTAAAGTGCAGCTAAAAATGTTGTTTTTACATAAAATTACTCAAAAAAATATTCGGTTAATTACATACCTGACTTGGACACTTAGAATCGGCCTAGTGCCCGAAATATGCTTTCGAAAAAAAAAAATTAAAACGATGATACTGGACATTTTAAGCATTGTGATCGGTTAAACCTCGCTACCAGGGGGTTTCTAGTGTCGCTGATTACAGATCTAAAGTCAGTTTTTCAAAATTCAAACCGGCGTTTTGCCGCTGGAAATTGGATACGGCATTTTGAATAAAAAAAAATTTACTTCATATTCGTAATCAGCGACCCCAAAAACTCCCGAGTGCCAAGTTTCAAGCAAATCTAATACAAGACAGGTATGTAATTAAGGAAATGTTTCCGAATAATACACCAGAGTGATACATGTAAAAACAACATTTTTAGCTACATTTTAACATGCCACGAAAATAAAAATTGATAACATCACTGTTTTTATCACAAATAACAATAATTTGAGGTAGCGTTTATGAATTTAAAAAAAAAATATTATTTGATCCACTCTAATGTATGTATGTACTATATGCATGTAGGTATTTGGTTAACTACCATTGCCTGCCGAACGCGACTACTGTTAGAAAAAGTTTTCTAAATTAAGGTGTTGCTTGGACCATGGATTGAACCTAGTTCCTACGGAATGGTAGTACGCTCCTCTAACCTTTCAGCCACAGAGCTTGTTTTTTGTTAATTGCTATAAATTAGTTGACTCTTTTTATTCATTTATTTATTTCTATTAAGTATTAACAGGTAGAACTATTTTATACATACATAGATATGTACATATGTGAGTACAAATCGCTCATTTACTTCAATAGTGTCATAAGTCAAAAATGTAAAAGTCGAGAAAAACGGCCTTTAAGTTTTGAACTTACATATCGCACTTTAGAGTGAAACGTTGCTAAGTTTGCTAAGTTTGCTAAGTCCAAAAGAAGCTCCGAAAATTCGTTAAGGCCAAAATAGTATGTTATTTGTTAATAAAGATTCTGATTCGTATGGAGTTTTGCTTTGCTTTAAACAGGAAAAGTTGTGTATTCAAAGTTTTGCGAAATACTTGAAGAAAATAGCTACAATATTGGTTTTTTTCTCCTGTAAAATTTTTAAATTATGACTTAGCAATTTTTCACCCTAAGCTCGATATACTCGCTTAGTAAAAATGAATACATGGTTTGTTCTAGTGACATAATGGAAATGGATACAGCCATGGGCGTAGCCAGGTAGGGGGGTGCTCGAGCCCTCCCCCCTCCCCCCCTAACTTTCAAATTTTCCTTATATATATATAAAATAGTACCCTGAAATGCCAGCTTAATAGGGTCGAGCCCCCCCTAAATTTCATTCTGGCAACGCTGATGGATACAGCTATGAAAGTTGTACGCATCATAGAAGAAGTGGTAGCGGTTATTGCTGCATATTTACTCAACTCGAAATTTATATTTTTTGAATTATGACACTATTGAAGTGATATGTATTTAATCACTTCATGTATTTATTTGCATTTAAATACAAAGATTGATTAACACTTCAAACAGCCGGACGTGTGAACGAATGTCAAATCGGCTAATATTATTTGAAACAAAACTCGATAAATTATTTTCACACATTAAAGCAATAAAAAGGAATTTGACAAGTATTGCCACCGGGTTTCGGTAGCCACGTTAACACGAGAATTCAAAGAAATTTGCTATTAATGTATGAGCACGTACATACATACCTAGGCAGTATTTGTGGTTAGTTGCTTATCGAATCATGTTTTCGTATACAACTCTGACAATGTATTTATGCTTACGTATTTACATGCATGTATGTATGTAAGTGTGCCACACCGGTTTTTAAACCCAAAAATAGCTATTAACCTAGTGTGCGGCATCTTATGTTTAATCTAATGCTGGCATACTGCGTGTTTTGAATATGGCAGAGACTATTTTTTTTTTTGATTGATTAATTACATCAGATATCAATTGATGACATCCGTTGGGCCCTACACTGTACTTACTTATGTAGCATTTATTTCCCTTAAAATATTAACCCATATCCAGCTAATTGAAATAAATAGGCTCGTGCGGACAGACAGCAACTTCGCATGCATTATCTATGGATGTATGCATGTACATACATACATATGTATTGGAATAGTGTGCGCTTCAGCTGAAGGTTGGCAACCCAACCGGCAAATAAACGTAAATTTTGCCGACAGTGCAGTTTAGTTCAATTTTCCGTATCCGAAAACACATACAAAAAAAATCTCCTACAGTTATCGTAAAATTTTGTGTCCGGAAAACGTTCGAAAAAGATGATGCCATTTGAAACCAAAAACTAAAAAAACAAGCTAAACAAAACATTTGAAAGCATGCATGCGTAGACGGCAGTGGCTGAGCGTGCGTGTAAGCTTCCAGAAGGTGCCTGGTTCGAAGCTCGTCAGACGCTTCGCAATTGTATTTTATTTCTTTTGAACCATGAAAAAGAATCTGTGAAGTGCAGAACGAAAAATCAATCAGACAAATTTCGGTAAAAACAGCCGAAAATGTATCCTTTTCATCACCGTTTTCGGTACTTTTCTGTAAATACTACGTTTCTGCCGTACACTTTAGTGGGAAAACGGATCATTAAATGGAGTCGGTAAACGGACAAAAGTCGGGGTTTCATTGACTTTTTTCCCCATTTTCGGATCGGTTTTCGGACTTTTTTGCTGGCTGGGAAGGCAATGTTTGTTCAGGTACTGCAATTACGGTGTTTGTATTTGTTATATTCCACTGAATTGGGTTTCTTTTGCATGAAAAAAAGACTACCTCTTTAGGCATACATACGTATGCTTGCCTTTGAATTTGAACCCCAATAAATCAATTGCGGAATTTATGATGGGTTTGCTTACTTGCGAGATGCGCGTGTTGAAATTAGCTTTACCTATGATTACCTATGATTCGGTTGTCATTGATAAGACTTTGTAAACTGAAAGAGTAGTACATTAGAGAGACTTTTTCATTATACATAGATTTTTGTAAAAAAAAAACAATGGTTAGCCAAGCTTCTCCTTCGATATGTGGTTTGTGTCTTGATGTTGTTATTCACTTAAATGGAGGACCTACAATTTTATGCCGCCTCCGACAAATGGTTTTATGAGAAGCTTTTTCAAAAATACACTCGGAGGTATGTCACTGCCTGCAAAAGGGCAACCGCTATTGTAAAAGACTTTTTCGGCGAAGTTGATTAAGGTGTGTAGGACTCTTTTATCTGCAGGAAGTATTAAGCACGAGTTGAATTTAGTGAATCACTGGTCATAAAAAATATTTCCGAAAATGAATTCGCAGATGCGTAAGCAAGGGAAGGTTCCACAATCTTCAGAACTCGGGTCAAAGGTGGCGCATGGCGGGAGAAAAAGTTACGTGGACCGAGCAAAACCCCAAGAGCACAAAAAATTTATTGGTAACCTGTTGGCAGACCTGTCTTCGCGAAGTTTGTAGAAGTTATTACTGGGCATCGGCCGCTAGACACCCACGCCAGAAGACTGGGCTTCGTCGAAGATGACTTCTGTTTTTGATGCAGGAATGAAAACGAGCAGAAGGGAGCAAGGATACCATATCACGTAGGGTCATATGAGTTTACATCGTTACAAGATCTGTCTGATATAAAACTCTCATAACAAACTCAACTTTATCAACGAAGCTGGTTGGTTTTAACATAGTAATGCGAGATCAATTATATCCGAACTAGATCTAGCTACTTAGGCGTAAACTTTTCGCCACGATGACAAACTAATCTCTAACCTAACCTTAGCTAAACGAAGAATCGCTACTCCGGATAGTCTGCTGAGGAAGTAATGTTTCGGGTACAAACCGGTCGAAGCTGGTCCAACTCGTTCTGCAAGTTGAGTTGCTTATTTCAAGCTGAATCTCAGATTTCGTAAATGAAAAACACTCATTACAGCGCTTGAGTGTCTATTAAAGAATTAGGCAATATATATTTAAGTACATATCGCCATTGCACCTGATTGGGCTTGACAGCTGCAGGTGTAATATACCTACCATTGAAATAATTAATCAACTTAAGTTTATTTGCTTCTCATAATTTTAATTTTAAAACTTACACAACGGTTGATAAAGGCAGAGATTTAAAGTAGAGGAAGTTACAAAAACAACAACGAAAACTAGTTTTTTCTTTATCTCCGGCTGCCTAAAGCAAAATGTGTCGACACATGACACTGACCTTTCTCTAACAAAACCAAACAAAAGACTCACGCAACAAACTCACGAAAATCAAGAAGTAAGCAATCAAATTGGGGAATAAAATGGGAGGGGAATGAAAAATGTGCCTGCATGCAATTAAGAAAAGTTTGCTTGCTGCGGTAATGCCATGCGGCTAATGGAAATGAGTCAACAAGAAAATTCCTTTGCATTGGAGACAAGCAGAGCAATACGAAACGTTTGATTGAAGAAAAATGAAGAAATAGCAACAAATAGAAAATTACAGGAAAACCTAACGCTCATACCTGTGCCCCAGTAGCTGTCGCCATTTGAAGTTATTAAAATAGTTGGCAATTCAGCTTTTGCTATTTGGGTGGCACGTTTCATGAATGCTGTGCCTGTTTTAGTGGACTCTGACGTAGTCTAATCAAAAATAGATTTGAATACATATATTTGAAAGCAAAAATATGGTGAAATAAAAAACAAAAATAAACACTTACCTGCTGCAATTGTTAAGTAACATAATGTAGCATATGATGGGAATGCCGTTTAGTTGAAAATCATAGGGTGAGTTGGAAGAATGCGGGGGGTAAAAAGCATGTGATATAATTTTAGTACATAACTACTTACAAGTAGATAAGCGAATGATAAATGATGCCAACTAAAATTCGACGAAAATTAGTAGGAAATGCAGGTCATTCTACTACACGCGCCTGTACTCATACATGAATACATACATTTATACATATGTATGTTCAACATAAAAGTATACTTGTGACTTAAAAAGTTTGTTGTTTTAGTATGAAATAATATGATTTTAGTGATGTACTAGCTCGTCTTCCTCATGCACACTCGAAAATAAATGTGGAAATACAATTCTACTAGATTAAAGACGGAACAGCAACAAAAGCAATCAGCTACAAAGCTACCGAACTAACAAAGCTATCTGAAAATTTGGCCGCAACCTTTACTGCATTGAAATTGTTAATTCGAGCCAACATTTTTGTTAGCTTAGCTTGCGTGTGGCCTCACAAAATAAACCATCTCGTCATAAAGAAAAATATTAAAAAAAAAGTTCTTGAAAACCCCCCCATTTTTTCGACCCATGTTTTTATAGAGATTTAAACAAGGATTACGATGGTATAATCTTAAATCCCTAATTTACTGGTCTTCACTATACAAATCAACCTCAAAAAGTTCAACTGTTAATGCCTAAGTTAGCTTTATGGACAATCTTGACTATCTTATATATAGAAATGTTAAGCCCGTTTCTTAGCTTTAAAATGATGTTAAGGTGAAATCTCTGGGATCAGCAGAACCCGAGATATAACGATTTAAAAAGTACATGTTTAGTTCATAAATGCAAACTTTGACAGTTCATATCTCCGTGTTAGCTGATTTCATGTAGAGAACCCACAAAACAAATTTGAATCGAATCGGAGACATGACATAATTTTTTTCACGAACTCCGTCCGACTTATAAAAGAATGGCTCACTGAATAATTATTAAAATCTATACATATTCAAATATTTCGTTGTTTACTTCCATTTTTTACATATATAAGGTTCTTTGCTGTCATCGCTTTCTGTTTTTCTTTGCACATGCAAATCAGCTGATCGTTTGACACTTTCCATGAACTTACAGAAAAAAAAACTCCGGACTAAATCCTGTAACTTCTGACTAGGAACATTTGTTCGGTTACTCTCTCAAACCGACTTCCTGTAAGTTCTGACTAAAGCCTGTAAACCGGACCGATATTGGAATAGACTATATACATATCGTCGATGTTTTTGATAAAAAACGGTCCATATCTCAATTGCAAAACCGCCTATCTTACGGCACTCAAATTTTACAGGAGAGCAAAAAAATGTTTATTCTTTGAAGGTATTGCCTTGATGGGCGGTATTTTCTCTAGGTATTATTTTACAAATCTGTTGTTTTAATAACGATTTAACGATCTTTACGCATAAATCTCGATGCCTGGAGTTCAGGGTTACCAAATCTAATTTTTGCCACAACGGTTTTTCAACTGGTCGATGGCGGTTTTGCAAAAACATCGACGATATGTACAATCAAATATATACATATATAAAATATATGTAAACTAAAATTCGTGAAGATAAAGAAATAGAAAAACGGTAAATGCGTTCTCCCAAAAGTATAATTTATCAATTTGCATATTGCGTATTTTATTTTTGTAGGAATCTCACTTACCACCACACGCCAACCTGTTAAAATTTAAAGCTGCAAATTCAATTACGATATATATATATGTATGTACATACATAGATACATAGATATGTACACACTCTGCAAACCATTTTTTCAGAGTATTCTGCATTGTAAAGAAATTTTAAAGAATTCGTCAAGATTTAATTCGATTTTTACCGAATTTTCTAAAATGAAATAAATTACGCACACTTCCATTCTTTTACGAAACTTAGGAAGAAAATCTGTGAAGCAACGAAAATAATGGTGCTATGTGAAGAATATCTTTCAGAATTTTTCCAGAATTTTCTTTCTTTTTCGTACAGAAATTTCTTTCCGAGTTCGTATCATTTTTGTTTTTTTTTTGTGTATATAAATAAATAATTTTGGTTTTAAGCAAGTATAAGTTTTCTGGTATCCTAGAACCACATGCCGAAGTTTTTTAAGTTGGCATTTAATCCTCTCTAAAAATGTTTCCGAAACAAGGCGTACTTATACGTCTTCCGATAAGGATCTATGTTGTAATATTTATTTAACTTATGTAAAAAAAAGAGTTGGCTTTTTAACAGGTGGCAAGGCCTATCAAAATAAATCACTACTCGACACCGAAAAATGCTTAAACCTCATTCGTTTGCCATCCATTATTAATAAAATTGAATCTAAATTTTCAAAGAGGTGGCAATCCTTTCAAAAATGTTTTCATACTAAACCTTTTTTAAATCTCGCTTATTTTTGCATCCATATTGTAAAATTTCCCTCGCAACCAGAACAATCCACACGTAGTCTGCGATACAACGCCCCTGAGCAGAGGATTGGAGAATCGCCAAAGGACTGTTCAAGCAGGATAGAATAGGATGGGCTATATCTGCCTCAGTGCCTTTCAAAGCACCTGAAGCAGATGGCATTTTCCCAGCTCATCTTCAAAAGGGACTTTCCCGATTGCTACCCTTCCTGATACCACTTTTCAGAGCATGTTATGCGTGGGCTCCCTACGACTATAATGGCAGGAAGTGACGGTCCGCTACATCCCAAAGGTGGGGGAAAACCAGCAGACCAACCAAAGTCATACCGACCCATTAGTCTTACGTCCTTTCTACTAAAAATAATTGGAAGAATCGTAGGCAGGCATATCAGGGATAGTTTCCATACCACGCGATTATTTAACGATTATTTAACGAATTTCACTTTTGTTTATATTATCAGAGAAGTTAGATGATTCAGCAATTCGCATGCATATGTTGGTAAGCAAACGCTGTGATTGCACATGTAAAAATGATTTGAATTAAATCGTAGACATCAACGAAACAACTTATAACTTGGACAAATGAAGTCAAACAATTGCCGCTGACTATCCGGCAACTGGCTTTTAACCTACTCGTATGTACATATCACTTGCCTGCTGATGAACTGAACAGCACAACGTTGACTTGGACGTAGGCGCCAATTTCTTCATGGCAGCTCACGCACTAATGCAGACGCTAATGAATTACAATTGTTACAGGCTTGTTTAATAAATTGCCGTTTAATAAAGATTTTTTTTTTAGAGCAATCGTAGTTTGCGAAGTGCGCATGCCTATAAAAACCAACTGTAATACCGGCAAGGCACACAATAACCCACAGAATTGTTCAAACATCAACAACCAACCAAGTGTAAACATGCGTGGATTTACAGTAAGTGGAGGAAAGGATACGCTTGCACGGGATTAATTTACTTGAATTTTTGCTTCATTTATTCTCACACTTTTGCAGGTTTTATGCACCCTTGTGGCTTTGTCTGCAGCTGCACCCCAGCAAGGGTATCAGTACGCCGCACAGTCATCAGATGGCCGATTGCAGTTCAGTGGCGTGTCTTCGAGCACGGCTGAAGCTTTAAAGGATCTGCAAACCGTTATGGCTGTGCAGACGGCCAATTTGAGGCCCAACTTTGAGTTGGGGAAAGTAGCCGGTGCTGCCTCCGCGGCTGCATCTTTGGGCCAGCCTCAGCCAAGATACTTGCCGGCAGTGAGCACCGTACAGCAACAGTTACAGCAACAACAGCAGGTGCAACAGTTACAGCAACAACAAGTTCAGCAAAAAATTTCTCTACAACAACAGCAACGTGTACAACAGCCTCAGCAAATTGCGCTGCAGCAACAGCAGATTCCTCAACAGTCTTCACAGCAACAACAACTCGTCGAACCAAAGACTGTTATCACAAAACGCTTCTTTCTACACGCCGCACCCGAAGATGCCGAGGAAGAGGTGCAGGAACGTCATATCACTATTGGCAAAGCACGTAAAAGCTACAATGTTGTCTTCATTAAGTCCTCCAACAAGGCAGCCAAGAAGGCGTCCATCAAAATCACGCCCGCTGCTAATGAAGAGAAGACCGTTATTTATGTGCTGAATAAGAAACAAGACGCTGCCGATATCGATGCGCAAGTGTATGAGCCGGCCACTACCACCACTAAGCCTGAGGTATTCTTCATTAAATATAAAACAGCTGAGGAGGCGGCGCATGCGCAACAAGCTATTCAGGCACAATATGATGCATTGGGCGGTTCGGCACAATTCTCTAATGAAGGTGTTGCGCCAGTTAGCTCCGTCATTGGATCTCTGGAGGTCGCCAAGCAAGCAAAAGCTTCAACTGGTGGTAACGATGAAGCAGCGCAAGTCTCGCGTGGCGCACAGGCAGAAGAGTTAGTGAAGTCAGCAGGTGTACAGAGTCAAGGAGAAAGGCTTACCGCTCAGGCACAATTATCTCAGAGTGCCAATGCAAACAATGCCTATTTACCTCCAGTGAGATATTACTACCGTTAATTTAAACCTTCGCAGCAATTAGGCGTTTATCTTCATTTTGCCATGTTTATATTCTCTCTTTGATTGCTTCTTTCAAGAAGCAAAATTATTGCCATATTCTTCTTGTTATATGTATTTGTTGTTGTTGTTTTTTTATATTTTTTACGGTACATACTTTAGTTTCAAATTATAATAATAAATAATAAAAAAACTAGATGTCTACATTTAATTATTTTGAGCATCTGTTGATCTAGGGTCCATATAAATAAAAGTCTTCAATAATGTTATCTAAGACATATAATATAAAAATAAAAAAATAGTTGTTATTTTGGATTTATAATATAAAAATGAAAAATAATTGTTATTTTTTTCAATTTTGCATAAAAATTGCAAATAAAAATTTATCTTCAAAATTGAGTCTCAGTGAAAAAAGATAGGTAGATATCATTTAGTTGCAGAACGTCTCCTTCATAATGAATTTTTCCATGGCAGTTTTCATCAATAACTGATATGGTCGGTCCCTGCTGTAGACGCATTTTGGCTATGAAAAGAATCTCTTCGAGCACCACGAGTTAAAACTATGTTGTAGAAAAGGTGAATAACTTTCCTCCCATTTCTTTGGTCTGACGCTTAAAAAAAAGATTTGTAGTCTATCTGCGGAAATCAACTACAGTGACATTACTTTGACCTCTTTTATGTATGATAAATTAAATAAAGGTAGGATTGTACCAACTTTTTCTTCACTATAGGTAATACAGCAGCTAATTTCGTATCGCTAATTGTGCAGCTGACGTGTGTGTGAACACCAAACTCAATGTGGCACTTTAAAGCTTAATTGCCTCAGCTAATTGGCTTGTTTGTACATAGTCTTAGGTTCGATTGTTAGCGGATCTACCAACAACGGATTACTGGACTCTCTCTCTTGAAACCTCAGGGCCGGATGGCATAATCCCGGAAACGCTATTACTGTGGTAAAAACCCACAGTTAAAGCAAATGCTTTCTGCTTTTAAATTGTATTAAAAAATAGTATTTGTTTCTTAACGTTCGCTCGCACTTGGGGCTGGAGTATAAGGTGATTATATACCACACAGTTCTAAAATCAATATGGACCTATGGATGTCCGTTATAGGGCAATGCGAGCAGTAGCAGCATCGAAATCCTTCGTCATGCGTAACCCAAAATCCTCAGCGGAGCACCGTGGTATACGAAGCGAGAATATCCATCACGACTTGAGAATTCGAGGAGTACGAACCAAAATAAATATATCAACGAAAGGCGATATATGTATCGAATATGTATATGTAGCGCACCCAAATCAATAAGCAAGAGCTCTACTGCCTGTAAACAGGCACTCAAGGTTCAAGGCGGACGATGTTATTATTTTCTTCGATGCAAACAAATGTTTGAACGTACTTTATGTGTGATTGTTTATTAGGGTAATTGGTCACAAAATACCCTATTCTCACATATCAGAGAAACTTTCAATTTTCGTTGAGATTTAAAAGGAATAATTCGCCGTCGAAGCAGTGCTGCCCAGTTCGTTGAATAAACACAGAACACTGGGGCCAGCATTTCACAAACAACTGGAACAGCACAAATAAACGTTGATAATATTTCTTATTTTAGTATGACATTGGCGCAAACCAACAATCCGTCAAACGTGGAATGTGCAACGAATTTCTATGCAAATACCTAATAATAATAGATTGGCGCTTACACATATGTTAGTGTTTGGCCGAGCATCTCCTCCGATTTGGGGCGCGCGCCTGGATGTTGTTTTTATGAGAAGCTCTTTTCAATGGCAGAAATACATTCGGAGGTTGGCCATTGCTTGCCGGGTGGCGACCGCTATTAAGAAAAAAACCCCTTTTTCTGTATTCGCAAATGTTGCTTTGACCAAGGCTTGAACACAGGCATTGCGAAGTGCTAGCGCGCACTGCTAATCACTGCACCACCGTGTCGGCCTAATGTACATAATTTTCTGAACATAAATAATTATGCACTATGTATTTAGCTATGAGATCACCAAAAATTTCACGAATTAGGTTCGATGGCAAAATCGAAGATTTAAAGAAATTAAAAAAAACAAAACTAAACAAATGATTAATTATAATCTTTATTTAATTAAATAACTAAAAATGAAGGCTAAAACAGTCAATAACCACAACTTTGTATTTAGTTACTCAAAGCATAAGCGAAAAAACTGCATACAATATAACACACCAAAGTGATGCCAGGTGAAAGGTGGATGGATGTGCAGCAATGACATTGACGTGTGAATAAAAATATGGCAAAATATTTTGATGAATTTTTGCGAAAGTTATTTTGCGGCTAAAAGTTCATGGAAATATGAATAATTTAGTTAAAAAATTATTTTTTTGCTTTTAACAAAACATGGATATGAAAGGAAAAAAAACACATGCATAGGGTGGTCCGAAAATGCATTTGAAAAAGTAAAGTCGGAATTATTATGCTTTCACCCCCTAGGATTGTTCTATACCGACAAAAACTATAACCTTATTTTTTATTTTGAAATCAAAAAATATTTAGAGGTCGCTCAAAGCGCCCAAAGTTTTTCATGTATTTTATACGGGGAAAGCAAGAAATGGTATAGAATACTTAAAAATCAATATTTTTCTATCTATAGCATTTGTACGAAAAATTTTATTTTTCCCATAAAAAAAAAAATACATGGAAAACTTTGAGCGTTAAATATTTTTTGATTAAAAAAAAAAAATACGAGTATACTTTTTTCGATATAGAACAATCCTAGGGGCTGAGAGCATTACAATTCCGACTTTACTGTTTGTGGACCACCCTAACGTGTACACACTTGTGGTTTATGATAAATATTTAACTTGGAAATTACATGTGAAAGCTAGCTGTGAATTCGTCATAAGCTCTTGGCCATATATCAGACAACAATTTTTTTGCAAGTTTTGACTGACTTTGACAAAATCAAATTAATACCGGCGCTGATGATGAAGTACATACATACATATGTATGTATATTGAGTGTTAATTGACCGAGGAAAACTAATATAATAAAAACTTTTGAATTATATTGAGTGGTGAAACTCTTTTTAATTTAATTAATTTAAATTTCAGCCAAAAAAGAGACATAATACGATAAAAATTTTAAGTAATCATCGAAAATAATATTCACACATTGTATGGGTTTTGCTGGCACTTCTTCTTTCATATATGCAAGTGACATAAATTCTTTATAGTCCATACTATAAGGGCGAAATGTTCCCAAAATCATTTCAATATCGTGGTTAATTGTGGTTAGTGTCTATTTAGTAGAAAGTCGGAAGCCAAAAATTTTAACATATATAACTTCCTGTAAGGGTAGTAGTCAGTTTAAGGTTAATATTACCTGAAATTGAATGATTAGCATTCCTAAGGAGAAAAATAATGGATGAAAGGATTATAACTCTGATGATATTTTTTACAAAGAGGCGAAACTTGATTTTCACAGAAATTTTAAGGTTTTAACTGGTATCTGCCAGCGATGAAACTTGAAACTGGACCAAGTGTGCCCTTATTTATATATACATAATTAGTTAGTCTAGACTCTAATCGGTTCAATAAATTTCCAAAACTTAATTTCGGCAAATTTTCGACACTTTCCAATAGCTGCTGGCTCATAGCGCTCTGGCAAAGCTCATTGAAAAACTGGGTGTGAACTCTTGCAAAGAGCTCTTCTTTTATACATGCGCATGGTCGATTTTGGCTATGCAACAACAAAAAAACGCTTAAAATAACTTCACATAAAACCATTGCGTGGCCTAGAAATGATTTGTAGTCATTGCTACATTAAAACTATAGGTTGACGGCGATTTTTATTTTGAGCGGCGTAAACATCTGAGACAAGTGCTTTCCCTGCAGAAAAGCTACAAAAAGCTAAATTCAAGCTAGTTGACAATTAATGCAGGAGATTGTTTTATCCTGCACTTCGCAAATACTTTTTCGAATTGAAGACAAATAAAATGAAGATCGAAATTTGATATTATCATTTTGCAGTTTTGTTTGACGGAGTTAGATTATGCGACCACCTACAGCATATGTACACATGCATACATTTCCTGCAGGGTTGGTCAAAAGACTCGTTTCTGTTAATTTATTTGCTAATTTTTATAAAAAAAAGTCTTAAAAATGAATTGCCATAATTGGTTGATACGTAATAAATCAATGAAAAGAGGCGAAGAGACAAAGCAGCAAAAATTACAATAATTAAAATAGTCTTCAAATGAGCTTCAAACGGAAAATACGTACAAAAGAAAGAAAACTGAAGTGAACACTAATACTGACCTAACCTCTGAGTGTTGAGGTTGTGCTATATTTTAGCTAATGGCTCTGGGAATTTAATTCTCTCAACTCCCTTTTTTAAGGCATTAAGTTGCCTGTTTTTATTTTTGTTAGCATTTATTAAAACTTGAACATGTGGCTGCTGGTTTTTCGGTATACACAAAATTTGGCAGTCAATGACTTTAACGAAGAGACAGCAATTAAATATTATACATTTTTACTAGTGAAAAAAAAAATACTAACTGGGAGACAGACACAAATCTTGACTCCTGGGTATTGAAAGAAATTAATTGATTTCAATATAGTGTCGATTCGACGCTTAATCTTCGCTTAAATGACTGGCAGATTTTAATTTAATTTTATAAAAATTTATATTTTATAGGAAATAGGCTGGACAAGATATTGTGTAAGAAACATTCTTAACATATATTCAGAAAGCAAGAGGGTTGGGCGGCAACAAAGGCAACAGATTATATACTTTCTTTATTCAATCACACTAGAAGTAAATCTATCCGCTTAAAGACACCCTTCTCTAAAAATGTGAAATGCGAATGGAATAGTTATATCTCAGCAACAACTTTTTTCAACTGTATAAAAGGGAATTGAAGAGAAACTGAATCTAGCGCTTAGTCGCCCTCTCGATCCCAAGGATCATAGTAGCAAACGTCATAAAATTAATCACCCAACT